GACAGATATTTCTGTTTACTAGTATTCCTATATACCTTCTCCAGGATTCTTAAGAACCCTGTTTCTGCTATTTTTTTTTTTTTTAACATATATGACCATATAAATTCAAAAGGAACTTCGTGCAAATCAGCTAGGGTCAAATATTATATACCAAAATTACTAGCATTCCCTCAATATCTACATATATGTTGGGGGTGGGGTTGAGGTTACTGCAATTATTTCTTGAGAATCTTGAATATCTTAGTAAGGTGGTTCTCAACCTTCCTAATGCCATGACCCTTTAATATAGTTCCTCATGTTGTGGTGACCCCCAAACATAAAATTATTTTCGTTGCTACTTCATAACTGTAATTTTGCTACTGTTATGTCTTCGGCGACCCCTGTGAAAGGGTCATTCGACCCCCACAGGTTGAGAACCGGTGCAGACAAATGTGAGGCCCTCTCCCAACAATATTTCTAGTTGCCTCAAGAGGCAGCTAGAATATGGGGCTGCGGGTGGACACATCTCGGTGGATATGCCTTTCCTTTCCCCCTATCTTTTGAGAGCTACATATAATATATATATCTGTCCATGAATACATATATATTATATATACATCTGAATGGATATATATTGAAATGTGATATAGCAAAGTGATTAAGAGTTTTGAAGCAAGATTACTTTGGTTTGAGTCCAGACTCCATCACCTGCTAACGATATCATCTTAGATAAGTTATATAACCTCTTTGTGCCTCAGTTTCCTTATCTGAAAAATAATATAATAAAGTTATGTACCTTTTGGGGTGGCTGTGAGAATTAAATAAGTTTATATACATATACATGTATATATACAACACATATAACTTAGAACAATGCCTATTAAAGTTACAGAGATTCAAAAACTTTAGTAACTGTTATTATATAATCAGTTGTATATATACAGGGTGGAACAAAAGTTGGTTAGAGTTGTTTGTATGAAAAATAATATAATAATTAATAAATAACAATACAAAAATAAACTCTGTTTTGCATACTCACAACTGTAAACCTACTTTTGCTCCACCCTGTACATAGGCATATGTACTATATAACCGCTTAAACTACAACATAAGACAATTCCATGTATATTGCTTAATATCTTTTATATTTGATATGTAGTATTATGCTCCATGGATGACACATATACATTTCCTTAGAAATTTCGGTTATCTAATGGCCAATCTGAGTGAAAATTCCAACATAGCTCATGACTAGACTGTACAGAGCATAAATTTGGTATTTAAAATCTATTTAGTGAAATAATATTTCTCGCTGGAAAGTCCCCGATATAAAGTGTAAGTGGCGTCAAGGTGAAGTACAGGAGCAGAAGCTTAAGCTGGAGTGGTCTGCATTTACCTGCCGGCACCACCACTCAGAAGCTGTGTGATCTGGGCCAAGTCATTTCACCTTTCTGAGCTTTAGTTTTTTTATTTGAAAAACAGGGATGTAACATTTTTGCAAGTTTATGGTAAGACGTACATAACAAGAACACTTGGCCAAGAGCCTGGCACATAGTAAAAGCTTCATAAATGAAAATACAAATCTTTTTTTTTTTTTTATCCTCCACTTCTGTTCAGATAAAGTGGGAGGGAGAGAGAGAGAGACATCGAGGTGAAAGGGACACATCGAGTGACTGCCTCCCGCAGCACCCCAACCAGGGCTGGGGATGAATTGCAACCAAGGTGTGGGCCCTTGACCGGAACTGAACCTGAGACTCATTGGTGGTGGTGCCGGGGCTGAAGCTCTAATCTCTGAGCCAAACCAGCCAGGGCAGAAATACGGATCTTTAATCCGTCCAACTTCCAATGTGGGGGTTTTTTGTTGTTGTTGTTTGTTTTTGTTTTGTTTTTAAAGCTCAACACAGACAAACATCCCACTGGAAGTTTTCGATCAGCTATGCCATTGCTATGTAATGATCATGGGTTCGTCTTAAGGACATGTGGTTTCAATAACCCTAATGGCTTGAAGTTTCGCTGCTGTAGAAGCAAAAGGGAAGAGGTTGGTGTAATTCAGGTTTTACCAATATCTCACCAGGCAGCTTGCAACTTTGCCCCTTCTCTCCCTCTGCCAGGCCTCCCTTCTGCCAGTAGAAAGTCTGCTCATTCCAAAAGCTTTTACTCCGAAGAGGCAGTAGATGCTGAAACCCTGAGGAGGTGGCACCTCTCTGTTTGTTGAGATTAGGCCAAGCAGGCACCTTTGTCATCCATTGACCAGAGACCCAGGGAAAAGCACTCCCTCTGTCCCTTAATTTTCACTGAATATGGTCTGAGAGAATTGAATTAAAATCTAGGGGAAATTCACCATAAACGACTGTCTATTTTCAAATGTTTACATATATTTTCATATATTTGGTAGTGAGAGCACTTTTTCTCTTTTGTAGTAGGGCCTGATTGCCTCTTGCACATTATATAAGGACTTGGACCTGATATAGTAATAGCTAATTGTGAAAAGCAACTACATATGTATTATGAGAATCAATCACTTAATGTATGCGAGGAACTCTTTAAAGGTACAGTACAATTCTTGATAAATTATTGTATTCTTATTATATAAATGTCTCCGACTTGAAACTTGGATGAGATAGGAAATGTGAGAAAAAGTAACATGTAGGAAAGGTGTTTTGTGCCCATACCGAGAGAATTTTTTTTTTTCTCAGTTGTTGAGGCCACATTGGTCCAGCAATTTAAATAATATAATCTATGGTCTCCCTCATTAAATACTTAAGAAAACAGTAAAATTGTTTAAGGATACACATTTAGAATGCCATATCCAGAGCTATAGCCAAGCGGCAAATGATTACCCTGCTTATAAATTCTAGGCAGCTGATAATTTGGAGTGCCCATGAAAGCCCCGAGTTTATTTGATTGCTCTCTTAATTACTGGGCTCTATGCGATCAAATATTTGTGGAAGAGGAAGCTGTTCTTTGTGGGAGTGGATAATAACTGTTCTTACACTTTGAAATTTTTGCCTTGAGTTATTAAGATTTGCATTTCTCACTTTTGTTCTAAGGAAAGGTGTTTAGCCTGTTTTAGAAAGCAGGTACCAAATAATCAATCTTCAAACACCCAGAAAGTTTCCACTCTAGACAAGTGCAAAATCTCAGGTATTAGCAATCCACCCCCAGAAACAAATCCACAAAGGGTGGAAGGGGGAGAAAGGATGTATCACTTTTCTAGGTGAATACATTGTGATTGGTATGTGTTGCATGCATTAAGAAACTATATTTGCTTACTAGCTGCCTTTTAGAAACCAGCCAGTCGTCTGAGAAAGAGCGCCCAGACAGGTAAGCCCCAAGCCTTCCTCCCATGCTGCTTCAGTGCCCTGCTCTTCCAGGCGCGTGAAGAATAAACAGACTGTGGTCATTGATCCCCTGGCGGTGGTGTTGCACTCTGGGAAATGCTGGGGGTGCTCAGGGACGTGGCTCACTCAATGGATGCGCGTCTGAAAAAAATCACCTAGATGGGAAAAGAGAACATGCAAATCGGTAGAAAGCTGGAGAAGAGGAAGGGAACAGCGACAAAAAGAAACGTGTTGCTCGTATTGTGCCTTAGTCCCCTTCTCCATCGCCCTCCTTCAGACCCTCTGCCTCCCTCGCGACTCCTCCCTCCTCCCCTCTTTCTGGACACCAGTCTGGGAAGATCAGTTAAGGTTTCCCCCACCCCCACCCCGGTTTGAGATTTAATAGGACCCCACCTCCCCACCCCCCGCCCCGGGCAAACCGGCAGCTGTTTTAAGTCAATGAAAGTAAGATTGTTAGAGATAAGCGCCTGAGCAGCCCGGGAGCTGTCAGAGCACACTTAAATCAGCCCACATTTTCTCCGGGCATTACCTACGGAGTTTCTTCCGAGGGGATGTAACTCTGGGGTCTCTGTCTCTCCTTCACGCGCCAAGTCAAGTGTCGCAGGGTTCTTAGCCCAACGCGGAGCCTTTTTCTCTTTAAATATCATTCCCTGGTTCTGGACATTGGGTTTTTGGCTTTACCCACACAAAACAAAACCAGTTCAACCACCCCGGAGGCAGAGATGAGAGTGCCTTAAACTTTTCTTTTCTCCCGCCACCCTACTACCCCCTGGAGTAGGTGGGTGCGAAGTGCCCGGGGCGCAGAGCCGGGGTCCGGGTGGCAGGGTCGCTTTAAAAACCGAACCTCCCGCTGCTCCAGCCTCCGCGCTGGGCAGACGGCGGCTGCCTCGGAGAAGGCTCCGCTCACACCCTCAAACCCCCACACGCGCTGTCGGGACGAGCTCTACTGTGTGCAAACCCGAGTGGGGGCAAGAAGGGGCCCGAGCCACGGCCACAGGGCAGCGGGCGAGGTTCCAGAGCTGGGAAGTTGACAAAGGGACTTGACCAAACGTGAATGCGTATTTATAGACGCGAGGTCTACCGAGATCTGGAGATAGCGCACTCTCCCCGCTCCTTCCACTCGTGCATTTCATTTTATCGCTCCTTTAAGTGGAGGGCAGTTTTTTTTTTTTTTTTTTTTAACATTCCTACACCGTGTGGGTAATCACCGCGTTATTTACAATCTAGTTACTCTGCAGCAGGCGGGGAAGCAAACTCCGGGGCTCGTCCCCTTCGGATGGACAGAGAGGGCGACCGGGCGGCGAGCTGCAGGAAGGAGGTCAGGGTGGGTTTTCGGGAGCGCCCGGGCGACCTGGAGGCAGCCGGAGCCCCCGGCGCCGCCCCCGCGCCCGCCCCCGCCGCACCCCCTGGGGCGGGCGCCCGGCCGCGTTGACCGCCGGCTGGTGCGCTGCCCTCGCCTCCCCCATTGTTCCTACTGTCTTTTTGCCTTTTGTTATTTGCACTCGCATTGTGTTGTTTGTCTCTGAAGCCGCCTCATGACCAGCAAAGGGATTTCACCTCGTCCTTGAGAGCTACACGGGGAGCGCGAGCGAGCAAGAGACAGGGGGAGAGGGACGCGCGCGCGCACACACACTCATACACACTCATACACACACACAGACACATACACACACATACAGAGTGAGAAAGGCGAGCCACCAAAACCCATCTCCAGTCTCCTCCCGGGGCCCCCAGCCCGCCACTGTGCCACTTTGCATCCCACGCCAGAGGAGACATTAAGGAGACCCGGTAAGGTGCGTGAATCGCAGCGTTTTAACTTTGTTGTTCGTCCCGATGTTGTTGTGGGCAGACCTCCAAGGCGCAGAGCTCCCCTCTGCCGCTCGCCGCGCCGCCACTCAGCGCCGGTTCCCCGCTCCAGCTGGAGAGCCGGCTGGGCTGGGGGGTGGGGGGCGCCACCGGAGTTTCTTCAAGTACAGAGGGAGGAGGACTGGAATGGGGGTGAGGGAGAGGCGGGAGGCGGCTCGAGACTGGAAGTGGCCCTGTCATCCTCGGGGGGCGCCAGTCGGGGGGGGACCCTGGGGTGTGCGCTTGGACCCAGTTCAGGAAATGGGATAACTTTATATATCTGTTGGGGAGCCTGCGTGCTGCTGTCGGTATTGTTTTCTAAGTGGTGGCGGTGGAGGTGGTGATGAGAGCTGAGGGCAGGAGTGCAGGGGAAAACCTAGGCTAGCCTGTGCACCGGGTTAACGCCAAACCACAGACCCTAAAAGTTGGACAGAGCTCCTTCCCCTCCCCAGAATGCACACGCGACCCCCTTCCCATCCCACAACCTGAATATTCCCCCTTCTCGTCTTTTTGTTTCGCTTTCTGCAATCCCTCTCCCTAGCACTTCCCCCTCCCTCCCGCCCGGAATTTCGGAAACAAGTCTCATCCTTCGGGATTCTAGGGATTTCAGAGACCGGAAGCTTTATAAATTGCAACTACTTCCCCCACCCCACTCAGCGTACGGAGTGAAGACCACTCACGTGTTGTCACTTTAAGCGCGGGTTTGGAAAATCTCGCTCACACGTTGGGGCTCCAGTAATAAGCAAAGAGAAGAGGTTATGCGAGTTTAAATCAAATTGGATTTGGAAACGTTTCCATTTGATAGCAGCAGTTTCTTGCGTATTGATCTGTCATCGGATGCACACGAAGCCTTATTTACATATTTTAATAGAAATTTTCCTTACCCTTTGCAAAGCGAATATATTAATGAATAGTTTGACCCTGGTGACTATTTGAAGACATTGGCCTCTGTGGGTAAATTCAGAGTGTGGTGAATGTGAATTCATTTCAATATCTTTCCTTCTCAACTAAATCAGGTCAAAATGAGGGATTGTGTGAATATACAGGGTGATATTCTCAGTGTCAGCCAACCCAGGCACTCTGGGTGGCAGTCAACTGTACTTGAGAAAAGTTTAGGAATTTGTGCTATCCCAGTTGAGATCCTCACAATATCCAGATATCCAAAGTAGTTGTCCAGAAAGGCATTAGCCGATTTCCCCAGAGGCTGCCTTCAGGCTCAGCACAGTTCTTTAGTCAAGGGCAAGACCAAGGGAGAGATCTGTGGGATTTTGGGTAATAAGTGTGGGAATCTGCAAAGGGACTAGACAGAGTGATTTGTTTCCTTGATGCTCATAAATAATGTCCCCTAGTATCCTTAAAAAAAATTTAAAAAAAACCCACACAAACAAAACAGGCCAATGAAGTAGGCGCGTGGGAGATTCATAAGCAATGGACATTTCAATCAGAAAAAAACAGCGGAGTTTTTGATCAGGATTATAGGACTGAGGCTCGATTGCCAAGAGTGATTAGGTGGAGGACCAGATGGTTTTAAAGTATACGGAAATGTTTTTTAGGTTTGACTTTTATAGAATATGAAAGGAGAACGATTTCTTAGGGTCTTTACAGAACTGCTGAATTTTGATCTAATTTTGAAGGAACTCAGCTGTATTATGAACTGCTGTTAGCTGTGATAGGGAAGGAATCTGGTTTCAAAGGCAGACACGTGGGGTAAAGTTTCTGGGGGTGCTTCTTCTTGATTTAAATATAGCTCCCAGGCTGCAGCCTGGATAAATTCAGTCACAATGATTTAAAAATCCTAAGTACTTACACTGAAAGTTCTGTCAGGCATTGTGCAAAGTTCTCCTGCTCATTATGTCATCAACTGTTTACTCCTCGTAACTATATAAGATAAAAATCATAAGCATCACTTAAAACTGATGCAATACAGCCTGAAATCCTTAAACTGGTAGAGATTGCTTTTGTTTGCCTAAAAGGTAGATCTTTCATCAGATGAGTTGTTTAAAAACATTTACTTGTGGGGGTGGGAAGGGATGTGCATAATTATTTAGTTATTTGTGTTAATTATATACTAACATACTCACTTGAAATTCTTTCTTTTTTTCTTTATTTCCAGTGGTCTTCTAACAACCTTATACATGAAATATTAATAGAGGTTTTTATTTGCTTGTGGGTTTTTAAAAATCCTCTTGTAGCCTTTTTGAATGGGCAATAATGAACCAATCTGGCATAGACTTGAAAGAGTAAGCACTTAATATGTGGAAAAAAGAGCTTCAACTCTTAATACAGAAACCCTGTACTAGTTTTGCTGTTGAGCTGAAACAGTTCTGGTTGAATGACATGTTATGTACAGGATTCAGAACTCTCAAAGGTATTTGGTAAATAACTGGGCATTTGAGATCCAGTGGTTATTTCAAGTTGACTTGGTACTATACATGTAAATGCACATCCTGTTTAGACTGACACATGGTTTTATAAAAGGAAAAAGTGAATATATGATTATAAAGATGTTATCTGTGGAGTATATGGAGTTAATAGTAAAGAACAAAAAAGAAGTTTATATTCAGGTGTGATACCCTCTGTTTTTGGCATTCTTGGGGATAAGGCAGGAGCTATAGGGAGACTTTAAATTTTCATTTTCCAGTTAAAAGAATGAATTTGAATGTTTGAACAATTTTTTTTTCTTATAAAGCAAATTATATAATGATTAAAATAATATACTCTCTTGAAAAATCTCTGTTCTTTTACTGAGTGACAGGCAGTCATTATTTTGAAGGCATGTTCACATTATATAAAAATAATATACTGGGCAGGATAAAACTTGTGTTTAGTAATCTAAAATACACTAGATTTTAAATACTTTAGAGTTCCAATGTTGAACACTGTTTAGATTTCCGGTAGGTAAAATTATTGGATATGATTGATTGGCATACCTGGATGATTCAGCCAATTTCTAATCACTTCTAGCGGTAGAGAATGCTATAATTAGAGTTTTGAGAGTAACCTGAAAAACTTATTTGCTTAGGCCTGAAATTCCCTCACACACTCTTCACAATTTTTAAGCCTGTGAAATGTAGATTTATTTTAAAAGTAAAGAAAGTGCTGGGCCATTTCAAATATACTATATCTTGAATTTAGATTTGTAGAATAGTTAATAAGCTAAAAGTACAGTTTTGTTGCAAACATTGTTTTAAAACATCCATTTGTAAATTGTCTGCATTTGGTTTTCATATGTTAATGATTTGGGCTTTGAAACTTTTTTCCAGAAAGGCATTTTGGTTTATCTTAAAAAACACTACACAAAACTGCCTAAACAACTCTGTAAATAAATGGTTCCAAATGCCTCAATGTGATGAACAAATTAAAGAATTATACTTCTTAATCCACTTATGATCAGTCTTGTTATTCCAATTCCCATTTGGGGGAGTGTGGGGAGTGGGAATGGTTAATGATTCTCAAATGTGAGTGGGGTCTTTGCAGTCTACTTTTTGAGTGATGTGACAAATAATTACTCATACTTCACGTTTAGGAGAAGGATTTTAGAGGTAAGGAAGTTATTTAGTGATCTTCAATTAAACCAAGAGTTTATTTGCATGAAAAATTGTTCTTAATAGAAGAGTAAAATGGAAATTTTAAGAATATTAAGCAAGGATCTAATCTTTTGTTTAAAAATAATGAATTTTTATATTTAAAGGGGAAGAAGTAGAGCACTTCAGACTCAGGAGAAGGGCAGACTCTTAGGTACTTTAGTCATTTACAGCTGGGCCACATCGGGACATTTGCATGATACTACTTAATAAACTTTACTATAGTCCGGCTGGTGTGGCTCAGTGGTTGAGCATCTACCCATGCACCAAGAGGTCACCGGTTCGATTCCCTGTTAGGGCACATGCCCAGGTTGTGGGCCCGATCCCCAGTGGGGGGCATGCAGGAGGCGGTCAATCAATGTTCTCTCTCATTGATGTTTCTCTCTCTCTCTCTCTCTCTAAAATCAATCAATAAATAAAAATTAAAAAATAAATAAAATTTACTGTATTCAATAGTCTTGTCTTTAAAATTAAGAGGAATATGCTTTTTGGGCTGTTTACTCCAAACTTCTTCCCAGTGAGCTTCTTACATGGATGCTTTTGAATGCTCTCCCGATCAGGGGCCTGAACGTTAGGATGGCCCCTTGGTAACAGCCCCATCTGCTTTGATGGACCCCTCTGAATTTCCGCCCCACTTGCCCAGTTTAACCTCTGCATCATAAATTAATTAATTCAAAGGTATTAATAGCTTATTATGGTTTAATTTTCTAGGAGTTATTATTATTACTATTATTATTGCAGTTTACGATGACCATTTAATTACTTAGGGAAAGACTTGTGGGAATTACAAGTATCAAGAGAAGCTGCCAAGAAGAAATATTTATAAACATAGGGATTTATTTTTCAGTACACTCAAATCATACCTTATAAGGCAAGTAATTACTCCACTTACAGGTAAGGTTTACATTCAGTAGGGGAAACATTGATAAAGTTAGAGGGAAAAAAATGAATGCATTTAATTAGTATGTTGAATAACTACCCTTTAAAAATTGAGCCTTAAAAAGTAAAAAACCACTCAGAAACAAAAAAGTATTTCCACGTCTGGCCGTGTGGCTCCGTGGTTGAATGCCGCCGACCCTGCACCGAGAGGTTGCCCGTTCGATTCCTGGTCAGGACACAGGCCCAGGTTGTGGGCCCGATCCCCAGTGGGGGGCACGCAGGAGGCGGCCAGTCTATGTGCTGTCTCACTGATGTTTCTATCTCTCTCTCCCTCTCCCTTCCTGTGTCTCTGAAATCAATAAAAAAAAAAATTTTTTTTTTTTTATTTCCAGGAATGATTATGGTGGTGGTATTGATTTCTACAGGTATAGGTCCATTCATTCTTTATTAGTTAATGTTTACTGTACATTTAAAAACTGATTATA